TGAGGGATGGGTCACCGCAACCTGGGCCTGCCTGGTCCTAGGAACAGCGCGATCTGCTGGCTTCAGCCTCACCAAAGACAGCGTGGTTCTTCATCAAGCCTCCTCCCACTCCATTTCCTCTAGGGTATTTTTAGGTCACCATTGTGACCCCCGTCTGGATTCCGTTATTCTCCGGGTAATTTAGTACGCTAGCCACGCTCATTCATTCAATACAGACTACTTCACGCTTGGTTCAAGGGGTTGTTCTAATCCCGCGCGTGCCCCCACAGCCGTTGCTCCTCTGGAGTAGTGAGCCTGCAACTACTGCAAGTGAGGAGTGTATTGGGGCACGTGTCTGCAGTCCATGGTCACTAAAAAATGACTAGGAGTTGAGACTGTCCTGCAACCTATGGCTGCACTGCGCGTTTACATCCAGCGAGCCCAGCGCTCTGACTGCCTCAAGCCTCCAGCAGCTCGGCTGGGAAAACACCTGGGCAGTGTCTCCTGATGGATCAGCGACTCCCTGAGCTCCCAGGTCTAAATCTCATAGGTCAATACGCTGAGGTCGTGTCCTATGTAAACGCATGCAGTGTAAAGGGGAAAACGCCTTTGCAGAGCAGCGAGGGTGGAAAATTAAACAAGAACGTGTAAGGCATTGCATTGGCTTCTCTAAAGAATCAGTTTCCTCCCTCGAGGGACTTTTAAACTGCTAAAATGAAAGAAAGCTTATTTTGTGTGCATTTTATTTATCATCCGTTCTAGCTGTACTTATCCACTAGGTCCAGTTAATATCCACACAGTACAACATTCAACAGTTCCCCAGACTCCCTCCCATTCTTGCCTCTCCGTGTCTCAGCTCCTGCCACTGATGACAGCCAGTATGCGCTCTTCCGGGAGATGATTGTGATGATTCATCTCAACGGTCAGCTCGAGGAGGTCCAGGACCACCTATGAGCCGGTCATCTGCGCATTCCATGCCAGGACTGATGGGGAAGACCCAGCAGCTGTGGGTGGCACCATTCCCTGGGCTGGGATTACATGCTTCCAGGAATGAGGTCAGTCTTCTGTGTGAAAATTACATCCGCCAGCAAACCCCCACCCCCCATGTGCTGGGCTGGAGAGATGGCTCACAGGTTAAACAGCATTGTCTGCTGTTTCAGAGGACCAGAGTGCGATTCCCAGGACCCACGCGTGGCATCACAAGCATCTGTAACTCCAGTTCCAGAGGGTCTGAAGCCCTTTCCTGACCTCCACAAGAACCAGGCATGCAAACAGCATACAGACCTACATGCAGGCAAAACACTCACACACATAAAAATAAGCTAAAACCCCAGTGTCTTTCTTCAATGAATACTAGTCTGTGAACACTATAAAGACAGACCAGCTTTTAAATATTTCTTTATTTTGTGTGTTCGTGGGCATTCAAGTTCCAAGGCGTGCAGGTGGGTGTGGTGGTTTGAATGAAAATGGCCCCTGTTGGCTCATCCAGAGTGGCACTATTAGCAGATTTAGCCTGATTGGAATAGGGGTGGCCTTGATGGAGGTATATCCCTGGGGGGTGGGCTTTGAGAGTTCAAATGCTTAAGCCAGGCCCAGTGGCTCCCACTCTCTTCCTGCTGCCTGTGGATCCAGATGTAGAACTCTTGGCTCCTCCAGTACCGTGTCTGCCTGCTCAACCCACACTTCCGGACATGATGATAATGGACTAAACCTCTGAAACTGTAAACCAGCCCCCCCCCCCAATGATTGTTTGCCTTTATGTAAAAAGCCGATAGGTTCTGAAGCACCCTTGCTACAGATGGTACGTGAGCCGGGAACTAAGGTGGAGACTTAAAAACACATACACACAGACAGACAGAGACACGAGGACATGGGTCATCCTTCATACAAGAATTCCCCCTTTACTGTGCTCAGGGGCAGCTTGTCTAGGGCTCTGACCACGCCCAGCTCTCAGGATCTTTCAGCTGCAGACTCCTCAGAACTCATGCCCCTGCCATCAAGGTCTTGTGCTCAGAGCAGCTGCAGGCACAAGTGTTTTACTCAATTCATTCCAGCAGGCAAAGGGTCTAATGCAGGCAAAGAAAGTCAAGGGGCCAGGGGTCTGTAGCTCCCAACACCTTTATAAAAGTTTCCGTGGTCATTTGTCTCTTTGCAGCAGTAGAAAACCTAAGACAAGAGAGTTGATGATTCTCTCTTTACACCATGTGGGTCCCAGGAGTTAAGCTTTGGGTCATCAGGCACCCTAGCCCACTGAGCCACCTCAAGGACTCCAAAGCTGGGCCATTCCTACAGGGAATAAGCCAAGAAGAGCTGGAGAGAGCGGTGAGTTAATCAACCCAATGTTTACCTCTTGCACCTGCCCCCTGGCTGGCCAACAGCCACATCACTTCTCAGGGGGCCTTTGTTAATTTCCTAGCCTCTATGAATGCTCACACACACACACACACACACACACACACACACACACACACACACAAACACACACACTAGAAGCTCGGACCCGCATTTGAGAGATAATGGGCAGCTTTTCTCTTTCTGGGCCTGGGTTAACCTCATTTAATATAATATATTTCAGTTCCTTCCATTTTCCACCAATTTCATAATTCCGTTTCTCCTCACTGATGAAAAAACCCCGTGGTGTTTACACACCACATTTTCATTACCCACGCATCCGCTGATGGACAGATAGGTCCCTTCCATTTCCTTGCTATTGTGAGTGACAGGGAGTGTGGACGAACCATGACTCTGGGGGTAGAGTATAGAATCCTTTGGGTGCATGCCCAGAAGTGGCAGAGAGATTCATTTTCACCCAGACCTGAAGATCTCAGCTTCCAAATCTGGATCCTAACCCCACAAGGTGGATTTATGAGTGCAGCCTGTCAAGAGGCTTCTTCTCTCACAGGCCTAACAGGCCAGCTGCTTCCCAAGGGTGGCCGCTGGGCTCGAAGACCATTGGACACTGCTCCAGTCTTTGCAGAGCTGCCTTGGCATATGGTTGTCTCACGCAGACTCTCGGAGTCTAAGTCCTAACATCTCACCTAAGAATTTTGAATGGATTTAGCCAACATCCCAAATAAGTGGAAGAAAGTCCTAAGGGAAACCTGTAGCAGGCTTTCTTTTGGGCCACTAACCAGCTCCCAAATTGTAACATGGAGACTTATTAATTATGAATGCTCGATCGTAGTCCTGGCTTGTCCCACTAGCTCTTATAACTTAATTTAACCTGTTTCTCTTTGTCTATATTTTGCCTCTGGGCTTTTACCTTTCTTTCATTCTGTATGTCCCTACTTTTCCTGCTCCCTCCCTAGCTGGGTAGTGGCTGACTGACTGGCCCTGAATGTCTCCCTCTCTTTCTCCATCATTCTCTCCTTGTTCTCTCTCTCTATAGATAGATAGATAGATAGATAGATAGATAGATAGATAGATAGATA